AAACGTTATCATGTGCATGAATGCACATTAATATGCATGATTTCTCAATTATGCGCACACATGAAACCCATCTCTAATAATAATCTATGACTTATTACTTACTTAATATTAAGTAATATGAAGTAATTATTATATTTTATTACTTACTACGTATAAACACATGATAACGGTCAGAAGTAAGTGATCAAAACTGAGATTAACTAAAACTACTTATCATTTCTTATTGCAAAAAATCTTAGATAATACGTATTAAGTAATATTAGATAAGAATACGTATATAATAATTTTGCCTATATTATATATATAACAGTATATGCTATCGCTATGATGTTTTAGATTAATTCCTGTTTTAATAATCAAAAACCAATATTTATAGATCAATCTTCTAGACCCAAAATGATGACCAACTCTCAACTCTCTTTGCCACCTACCTTCTCAACTGAGATCATAAACCTATCATTCGTTTTTTCACATCTCTAATATAGGAGCAAATTTTTTTTTTTAACTGTGATCGAGAACTAAGCTCCTGTGTATATTGTAAGGGATTACTTGTTGCATCCTTTATTAAGTACCAAATCAGCTCTAATCTAAACTTCTTATGTTCAATATTTAATATTAGGTCTTTACAAATAAGATATGTATTTATTAGTGAAGTATCTAATAACCAGAAGAAAAGAGGCATCCATGTTCTACGGACAATTAATTGTGTTGAATAATAGCTACAAAGCTGATCTGCGATATCTACACCTCTAATATGAAAATTATAATCATTGATAACCTTTGGTATTAATAAATTTTTGCATACTAAATCTCCGAATACTTCTTTTAGTTTTTGACTGTTTGTACTTGTTTCTTTTGGTCGTTTTCGTTCTCTTTCAACTCTACTATTTTCTCCCTTGATAACATGAATTGTAGTAAGCATTGTAACGAGGCCATTATCAATCCATAATAGTGCTAGAATATTATTAACTACAATGCCTTTTAAATAGTCTCATTCTAAATTTTTTTTTTTCTTTTTTTAAAATAACTGGAGAGTTAGCTGTATTGGTACGGACAGTACCACATGCCCCATAGCCTTTTTCTTGAAGAAATTTGAACAGGTTAATACTAGAAATATAGTTATCCATAAAAATATTAAATGCTTTGTTATTCGGAAGTTGTTGTACAAGATGATACACTTTAGTGCCAGTTTTATTAATATTAGGAATTGGATCAACATTTGATAATTCTATTCTTGATGTAAACATAAATGAATAGGTATATCCAGAATCACATAAAGATAAAATTCTGTAACCTTCGGGTGTGGGTTTATTCTTAATCCAGAACGTATATGCACTTCGTTCTGAAAATCGTGCAATCATTTCGTCAACTACAAGATTTAAGTTAGGAATATAAAGTTGTTAAGAAATATTACGAACATGAGATGCTAAAGGTTCCAATTTCATAAATATATTGGAATTTGGCTTTGTACAATCTGAGATATAAATATATCATTTAATATATAAATAAATAAATATATATATAGATTATTAATCAAACTAAATTTAAAAATAAATATTTATAAATAAATATACTTATTTGTTGAAACCGGAATAAAGTTATAAGTTTAGTTATTTTATGTGAAGGATAAAGCATATCTTGATTCCAATAATCTTGAACCACTGGAAATTTAAAGATTCCTATATATATGATTATTGCTAACCAGATTTTAAATTCCAATACAGTTAATGGTTCCTATTTGCGATTTGTAATTTTGCTATTTGTGAATATGCATAAATATTAGTATTTTGCACTATTGTTTCTATTAAACGTGGAGAAAAAAATTTGGCAAATATATAAAAAATAGTCAGGTTTTCTGATTCTAAATCATTAGAAGGTAGTAAAACAGTTGATTTATGTAATGGATATAAATGTTAAAAAGATAAAAAATTAACTGTAGATATAGAAGTTGTTTCATTATTTAATTGTTTATTTTTTACAGTATTTTTTTTATTTGCTTCAAATTCTAAATTAGCTTCTTCACTATCAATATTATGGTTTCGCTCAAACAGACAAATATAAACTGCTTTAACCTCTGTTTCATTATGAAAATCCATTTTGCAAAGTTAATCACAGGCAAATTTGCCTGCGATATATAGTAATCCTATTCAAATGTGGTACAAACATTTCCATAATTATTATCACAGGCAAATTTGCCTGCGATACAATTCATTTACTTACATAAATAATAGTTGACCATTTCCATTCTTGAATCACAGGCAAATTTGCCTGCGATACAATTCATCTATTTCAGTAAATATTATACAAACATGCCTATAATTGTCGCAGGCAAATTTGCCTGCGATACAATTCATCCATCCCAGCAGATGTTACACAAATATTCCATAATTATATCGCAGGCAAATTTGCCTGTGATACAATTCATCTATCTCAGCGGATGTTACACAAACATTCTATAATTGTATCGCAGGCAAATTTGCCTGTGATACAATTCATCCATCTCAGCAAATATTACACAAACATGCCCATAATTGAACCACCCTAAGCATCTCCAACCTAAAAAATTTCGCAATTGGGCCAAATTAAAATTTAAGATTAGGTGTAATATAAAATTAAACTAAAAATACTCAAACCCTAACCCTAATCTAACCCTAACTCTGGTAGTGAAATTTTTTAGGTTGGGGATACTAAGGTCATACCATGATTGTATCGCAGGCAAATTTGCCTGCGATACAATTCATCTATTTCAGTAGATGTTATACAAACATAGCAATAATTGTACCTAATTTGACTCAACTCCAAAAGTCGAGTCTTAATTAAAGTTCGGCTCCAAGTCAGATTTGGAACTCGACTCGTATTTTCACATGCAACTTGTATAGCCAAAAAAAATGTATATTCATGCATATACATTCTTTTTAGCGCTATATTCTGTATTTAAACATCACGGCGCATTTGTAAACTGCCCCAAAATTTGAAAAATTTGATTACCGATAGTAAGTCAATTTAATTTGACTTCATACTTGTCTTCAAATCCAAATATCCGGTCACTAAACTTATTATTTATCAATTTAAAACTAAATCTCAAAATTTTTTTCACACCAGTTTTATGGCAACATAACTTCTAACCCATCTTCTCACTATTCAACCCATCTTTCTACTATATCTGCTTAATTTCTTTAATTCTGCAAATCACCGTAATGAATATACAAGTTGCACGTAAAAATGCAAGTCGAGTTCCAAGTCTGACTTGGAACCGAACTTTAATTAAGACTCGACTTTTGGAGTCGAGTCAAACTGAACCAAACTTTTAACATCTCTAATTGTACCGCAAGTAAATTTACCTGCAACAATTCATCCAATAGGAATGTAATTTAGATATTGTAATGTCGCAGGCAAATTTGCCTGCAATACAGTTTATTTATATTACTGTATTAGTAATGATAAATTGCGATTGTATAATATGATCATGTATAAAATTTAATTAAAGGGTGCGATTAAGCTTTACTCTTTATAATTAATCAAGTATTTGCACGAAGGAAAATTTAAAAACAATTGTGTTGGTGTAGAAAATAAATAAATAAGATATGCAATCTGAGGCTACATCAACATGTAGAGACCCACGGGTGTTCTTGACCCTTAGTTAATCGTTTGGAATGGTCGGAGAGTAAATTTTAATTAGTAAAAAAATAACAAATCAAAAGTATTTATTCTGAGAGATAGTTTAGTGTATCAGAGAAAAAAATTTATTGGAGAAAGATAGTTAAACCGATCAAGGGTATTTATCATTCTAATTAGCAAAATATGGACATTATTTTGTTATCAACATCAACAGATTATTATTCGCTTATATTAAAAATCATTGCTATAAATACAAAAGGCAAAAGATTCATATTCGATATTCTTTTTTTATCTGTCACTATAGAATTTAGAGACGGATATTTTGTTGTTATAGTAATTTGTAAAGTCTAAAAAAGGAGGATTGATGTTTTTTTTTTTGCTGATTTATAGTAAAGATGTGGAATTGTAGATGGTACAGTACTATTAATTCATGACTAATTCTTTTTTATTTCGATCTTGTAAATAATCGTTAAATGGTAATAATGATAAAGATGGTTTGCTCATGCATCTATTGCGATCAATTTTAATTTATTATAATTTTTTAAGCATCAACAGATTATAAATTAACACAAAGGAAATACGTGAGAAAAATTCAATTTTACTATCTAATTAAATACCACTATAATGGTTGTACACCACCACAATCACTAGCTAATCACGTCGAATGTGCTGCTTGAGAACTCCCTAAACGTCAAAAGGTGATCAAGATGTGAAATAGCTTTATACATATCATCTATATTGTAATAATAGTGATCTTAATATTTACGGTATCATTTAACATTATAGAAGTTACCATTGACCACTGCTTACAGCACCCGGGTCTTATTCATAAACTCTATTTTTAAACAATAGTACCTGTGGGTCAGGGACCCAGAAAAATATCGATTTTATTTATGGGAATTTCAAATCCTATAAATAAAATTGATATTTTTCAAATCAATATATTTTATATCTTGGATCTTTTCAAGAAACAGGCCAATAGGGATGGCAATACCCGGATCTTAATCATGGAAGGTATTATTTTTAGATGATACTGAAAGCAGTGGTCAACGGTAAATCGTCGAAGGGTAGAAATAAATATAATTTTAAATTAAGTTGCTAGATAAATATAATTGATAAATCAATAATAGTAATATATATCCATAAAGGTAATAATAACTAAAAGAAAATTACTTAGAATTTGTTTTAAATGAAGTATCAAACCTTGCAAATAATAAATTATCCCTCTATATTGAACTTTAATTATTAGACTGGTCTATTATTATTTAAAAAAAAAATGTATAAAAGTATGCTGATCCAAAGGTTGGAATGGGATAATGAGCCAGTTCTGCTTTGTATGTGGAGAAAACATGGATACAAGAAATAGTTATGCATAGACTGATATGAGGAAAGATAAGAGGACTGAATTTAAAAGCCTGTGTAGTAGAGGAGTTGGTATAGGCGATGAGGTAAAATTTGGATGAAGAAACTGAAATGGCAAGGCAGTTAATACTTTAAATACAGTAGCAGCAATGTGATTAGTTTAGAAGAAATTAAGAGTAAGAACTTATCCGATGCTGAAACACTATCTAAGTCTGAATTAGCTAGTAGTAATAGCCAAGGTGTCAATCGCAAAACATTGGGTTTGCTGGTTGGTATTAATAATGAAGGTTAAAGTTGAAAGTGGTAAAACCAATAGATTAAAACATTCAAAGACAACAATAAAGTTTAGACTGTTCTTGATAAAGAAGAGAACCATATAATTAAAAAAGTTAAGCTTAAAATAATCAAGATTAGGAATGAAATTCTATAAATGTGATAATAAACAATGATGATGTACTAAATATAGATAGCTTCTGAAGATTTTTTATCTGATGTTGTGTGATTTGAAGGTGCCAAAGTTGTTGATAAAACCTTTGTTAGTTTATTGAATGTTGATCAAATATAGCTAAACTAAATGATGAGTGTGTAGAGATTAAGCCAAAAGATGGATATCTAAAATAAGGCATAAGAGAAGTCAGATAAGTATTCAATTAATGAGACAATTAATTTGAATTATAATGAAAAGGTAGAAAATAAAGAGAACATTGTTGTGAAATATGGTTGTAATAAGCCATATGATCAAGAAATAAATTGAAAACATGGCAAGCCAAATAGTAACGGTTAGTGTTGCTAGGGATGTTAATGGAGTAATATACTCCGAAATAATCCTAAAGTATACCCCACTCCATATCGGTGTGATTTTGGCATGACACCACCTCGGGTTATTAAGATACTTATAATAGGAGTAAAATACTTCAGAGTAATAATA